ATTGGGTTCCCTGGAGCCCCTATGCCTGGGAGGGGGTGGGTGGGGCAGTACTCTGCCCTTTGATCCCCATAAAGAAAATGAGCAGAACCTGGGGCAGGTAAGGGGGTTCACAAGGTGCCCCCCAATTTCATTTCCCCTGGGGGCAACTGGGCAGGGTGTGGGCACCTCTGGGGTGGGGCCACAAGAGAAGGGTGGGTGGAATCTCTCTTCCCAGAGGGCATAAATGACATTGGCATCAGGTTTATGCCAATTGTGGGTGTCATGAAGTCACAAAGGAGGAGGCCAAAGGAGTGTGAGGTGGGGTGGGGACAAATAGACAGAAGATCCACCCTACCTAACTCTATCATAGTCTTTACCCTACTCCCAACATTTTCAGCTTATTTCTCCCACAACTCCAGACTGACTACAGCTCCCAGTATGCTACATGAAGCATCCTAGTGCATCATGGGAGTTGTAGTTCATATGAGCTACTCTTGCCAATATAGGTGCTCCCCGCCCCCCTTGAGGTAGCAGGCAGGGTAGTGTACAGAATTTAGGAGGAGTGGAAGATGGGAAAGGATTCCCAAGGAGCCTAGGTTTGTGAAAAGAAGGATAGAAAATGAGCCCATAAGGTGGGGACCAAGCTGCCCCCTACCCCCAGGCCCAAGCAGAGGGGAGGCTAGGAGGAAGGAAGGAGGAGAGGATGTCTGTTGAAAGGGGCATATGGGTGGGGTGGGGGTGTAGGAGGGGAAACAGGAAGGAAACTAAAGCCAAAGACATGAGGCCCCTAGAACAAAGGCCTAGGGGAGCCCCCACTCAGAAGCCTTGCAGGGACTTGGGGGTGCCCCACATTGGCACTGTCCACTTCAGCAGCCAGGTCACTTATGCATGGTGTGTGGACTGGCCTGGCTGATCTTCTCTCTGCCATCATACCCTGCTTCTGGATTTGGCCTCTGAACTTTGTTAACTGTGGGGTTCAGAAGCCTGACTCAGTTCTGAAGATGCTAGTAGGGGGAGGCAGATGGGGACGTTGGCTAGCTTGTATGGTCAATCATGGCTCCATGGCTTTGTTGAGTTAGCCCTTGGTGTCAAGAGGGAGAGAACAACTCGTCCCTCAATAAGAGAAGGATGCTGGCACACTGTGCCCCAATGCCAGAGGCCACACCAACAGAAGGATTTGAATTTGGCCTACCTCTTCTTTGCCCCCTTGACCTATTTTACAGAGACAGGGTTGGTTCATGGAATGAGGGAGGGAGTGATGAGGGTCTTTCTCCAGGACAACCAGGGGAAACATCCAATGGAGTCCACTTAGTGTCAAAGGGTCTGCCTATATAAAAAGCAGACATGTCTGAAGGGCCAAGACTGGGGTGATAGACTGGCTATAAGGTCCCTGTCAAAGTAACATGAATGTTTTGAGATCATCCCTCCTCTGACAACCCTAAGTTTCTCACCCACAGCTGAGATTCCCACTGAGACAACTCGCCTGGCATAGAGGGGGATATGGGGAGAGAGGAACCTTTCTGGCCCCTCCGATGCTCCCGAGGGTGGGTGGCAAATGTTTCCCCCATCTCATTCCAGGCCTGTCTTGGTTCCTGGTTTCATTTGTGTTGTTGAGAAGAGGTGGGGAAGGGTGGGGATGGGGGTTAAGGGGGTGGTGGTAAGGCAGTTTCAAACTGTCCGGCCAAAACGTCAAGTTTATTCACAAGTTTACTCAGCAGGAGGGGGAAGAGGCCAGGGAAGACACACCCATGCCAGGGTCTTATCCATCTGCCCATCCCCACCTTCCTTCCCTGTCTCTCTGCCCAGCCTCAGTACAAATCAGGCACAGGTCCCCTCACTCTTTCATTATTACAGTAGAGCTCATGTAGCGTTGAATCTAAGGAAAGGCACTATGCCAGGTGGGCACTGTCTTGGAAGCCTGTTAGGAGGCTGGGGCCCAGCAGAAGTAGAGGCCTTAGTCCTGAGGCCAGTAACCTGGCAAAATGCCCACCTACTTACCCACCTGGGTGGGGCCTCTGACTCTTGCTCCCTACTCCTTAGGCCTCTCAGGGGCAGAGGGCCAGGGGAACTGGGCCTTATGCCCACCAAAGGGGAGGGGGAGCACTAGGCCCTCCTCCCTCCATCTGGGCAGTTCTGTGACAGTGACCTCTGACCTCCAACTCCCAAATCACATACTGCTCCCTGTTTGCAGGTCTTTTACCATCTGGAAGCCAGGAGGTGCTGGTGGTTCATTGGCCTGGCTTGGTATTGGGGTGGGGTCTAGCCCCCTCATCTGACCTACTTCCCTTTCCTTCCCACTTGCTTTTATTCTCTTTTCAGCTCTCCCCAAATCTCCGCTGTCCCTACCTCAGAGGTGCCCCGCCCCCTATGCCTACCAGGGGGCACCCCTCCCCCACCCTTCCCCAGGGTGCCAAGTATAAGCACACAAAGGGCCCGATGGTGCATTGTTAGCCCAGCCCCCGCTGCCCGCCGCACCCTCCCAGGGCAGGCACCATGCCAAGGAGAAGCTGGGGGCCCTTGAGTACCAGGGGGCACCATGGCAAGGGGGAGGGGGCAACTCCTATCTCCTGGATACTGGGGTCCAGTTCAGCAGGGCCTAGATGTGACTTGCTTGATTTCAGTGTGGCCTTTTTCCCTGGCATTTAAATCTAGTGGGCACTGCCTTCTTCCTTTACCAGAGCCCCCATCCCTATGGCATTAACCCCTTCCTGAAACCCCTGAGCAAGAGGGGAAGGGCGGTGCCCAGGGGTGCCCAAGGGAGGGGGGCAGTGCCCAGGGGTGCCCAACGGCTGCATGGTGCCCACGGTAACCATCTAACACACAGGTGGTGCTGGGGGAGTCTGGGGTCCCCGGGGCCAGAATAGGAGGCGGTAGCAGAGATTTCTCCGAGGTTTCATCAGCTGTTCCAGGGGGAGCTTCCCCCATTCCACTCTCTCCAGTTACCACTAAGAGGAACGCTACCACCTAAGCCCAGTCACAAACAAGACCCTAACCCTATGTTTTCAATAATATACTACAGTTTGGAATACCTTGACACTCATGCCCACCTTCCCTCATTACACCTCCATGCATATTCCCCCTCTGGCAGTGCCAGGCAGGTATAGGGGTGACCAAACCAGTTGGGGGGGAAGGAGCCAGCCCCATAATCCTTCAGGCTTTACTCCCCTCCACTCCCCCCCCACAAAGTTCTTGTCCTAGTTTAACCCCTCCCTGCCCTACAGGGTCTCTCCCCCCCATTCCTCTGACTCCCCTAAGGGAGGAGGTAGGGGGAGGGGCAGCGCTGACTCATTCCCATTCCCAGCAGCAGAGCAGAGGGGTCCTAGGCATAAGGGGACAGGGCTAATTCCGGAAAGCCCTCCACCTGGCCCGGAAGCCAGGACCGCCTGCCTGCCTCCCTGTCTCCCCCTCTCCTCGGAGCACCCACTTCCGGTGTCCCAAACTAGGTCAGCAGCGCTCGTTTCCTGTGGGTCAGCTAGCCCCAGCGCCTCTGCCCCTCCCCTATTCTGGACCTAAGCTCCCCGCCCCCCAGGGCGCCCCGAGGTCTCACCACGTCTCAGCCGCCCTTTGATACGTAGGGGGGGGTTGGGGGAGCAGGGACCCCGCCCTCTCTCCAAACACCAGCCGGGCAGGGGCGCCGGAGCTGGCACGTGTCCGGGCACAACCCGCTGCCCACGCCGCCCCCCCTGACTCCAGAGTCCCCCCCTCGCTCCGGCCGGGACACGTCGCTCTCTGACTCGGGGTGGGGTAGGGGGTGGGAGGAGAAAAAGAGCCGGAGACTCCAGGAAACACCCCCCCCAAACCCCTCTTCAAAATCTACCCTTGCATGAGGACGATCCTACTTAGCAGACACTGTGGCGACCCCCTCCATACGCGCGAGCGCACACCCATGGGTGGGGGCAGGTGTTCCAGCGCCAGGGAATTGGGGGGGGAGGTGAGTGGGAAAAGTCCCTTCAATCAGCCCACCCTCTGTCGCGGGTTCTGGGGGTCCGGAGCGGACGCAGTAGTGAGGTGGCGGATGGCTGAGCAGCCAAGAGGGAGACGTTATCAAGAAGAGCGGAGTGAGAGTGAAGAGGAGAAGGGACGTGATACCGGGGAGGCGGGAGGTTGGAGCCACAGCGAGTAGAGAAAGGGAAAGAAGCGAGAAATAGTGCTGTCCTAGAAGACCTAGAAACCGAATAGTCCAGCCGGTAACTTTCCCCCCAGCCCCGGCTCCTCCTGTGCACCCCCCTCCGTCCCAGGACTTCTGGCGGGGGTCCAGCTCACCGCGCCGGAGCAGAAGTGTGTGGGGGGGGTGCGATGTCCTAGTTCGAGTCAACGTTTCCATTCCCTCAACCCTGTCCCTGTGGAGGGTCCCCCAATATCCCCAAGAAGAAACCTGGGGAGCGCTCAGCGCTGAATTACTCCAACTCATCTCAGAAAAAAAGCCACCTGGGCCCCTAAGAAGTGCTGAGAAAGTTACCGGGAACCCTCTGCTAAGAGCTGGTGGGGGAGTCGCGATTCCTTCGCTCGCACCCTTTCTCCCAGCCCAAACCAGTTCCAAAGACGAAAGGCTCTGGAGAGAACCCGGAGGGGTGGGAATCCCTATTTCTGTTGTATGGCCGTGTGGGGGTCCCCTCTCTACAGGGCGACCGAAGGACACTGCAGTAGTTTCGAACTGAGAAGGGGAACCCCGAGCCTTGGAAGGAAAGGAGAAGGGGTACTCACCTCTCTGCCGTCGGGTCTGTCCGCAGAGGTTTGTGAGATGCGGGGTGTAGGGAACTGGTTGTCCCCCTCCAGGCCCTGTGGGCTCCGGGGGACGTAGGGGGCCGGAGCCTCGGGGCTCTGCTCCAATATTGGTCAGAAGGCCGCGGGCAGTCCGCTGGCTGCTTGCTCCTGGGGGGCTCCTCCTCCGCCTCCCTCTGCCTCCTCCTGCCTCCCGCCCCCCCTTGGCTGCTGGGAGCCGCTCATCCACCTGGCTCCCACCCACCCCACCCCCCCGCCCCCACCCCCCCGGGCCCGCCTCACCTGTCCTGCTGTCTCACCTGTCCTCCAGCCTCCTTTCCCCCCATCCCTCCCTCCCTCCCTCCCCCCGCCCCCTCTTGCAACCCCCCCCACTCCCCTCCCCAGCCCTGGCTACACCCTCTGTCACTTCCTGGTTTTCCACCCCCCCCTCAGGCCCCCCCTCCGCCCAATAAGGACATAAACTTCAACCCCTTAGTCCAGCCTGTCCCTTTAGTACACTGCACCGTCTATCCTTCCCTCTTTTTCCCCTTCCTTGTCTCCCTTCCCCTCCTCTTTCGCCTTCTTCTGTCCCTCTCTCCTCTCTTCTCTTCTTTCCTTTTCTCCCTGTTTTTCCCCTTCACCTGCCGCGGTAGCTCTTGCCCTCTCCCTCCTCCTGCAGCTATCTTCCCCAGTCCACCTTAACCCAGACCCCACCCTCTACCCCCATCCAACCCGAAGGGGATGCCCCGCCCCCGCCCTCTTAGCTCCACCGCCCAGCTCTTCTATTGGTTGAAATACCCATCAATCGAAATTTCAGTCCCGCCCCCAACTTGGCCCTTGGGGAGAGGGGCGGGGCTTCTGGACTGGAATGGTACAGGGAGAAGGGGAGGGGGGGTTGGGGACCTTGTCTGCAGCGGCCTGGGCACCAGCCCCTCCCCCCTTCTCCCTAGTTCTCCCATCCAGTCCCAAAGGCTCCCTAAACGGTGGGACAGCAAAAGGGAGGGAAGTGGCTTGTGAAGGAGTTAATGGAAAGGGAGGTGGGAATTGATTGGGGGTGGAATCAGGGACTCGGTATAGGGCGAGAGAAGGGTGGTAAACCAGAGCAGGGGAAATAATCAGGTCACAGCAGAAGCCCAGCAGAAGGAGGGAGGGAAAGGGAGGGTGGAGTCACCAATGGCCAAAGCCTGAGATCCATGTCCCTCACTTCCCCCCCCCCCATTCCCCTTAGACTGGAGGGAAGGGGTCTGGACTTGGAGACTTCATTACGTGTCCCTCCCACACGCGTGACGGTACCCCACGGGGTGGGGACCTACGCTTAGGCTAAACCCGAAGGCAGGACTCTGCCTCTGAGTTCCAGCCCTTTGCCCGGCTGCGGCCTTGGCACTGCCAACGGGGAGGGGCTGGGTTCATGGAAGGGGGCGGGGGAATGGGGATGGCACGTTGCTTCTTCTCCCCGCCCCTCCTCTCCTAGCTCGAGAGCCTTGAATTCCTTTCACCTTTCGGTAACTGGGGAAACTGAGGCTTTTGTGGAGAGGTATCCTGGCCGGAACACGACCGAGAGACCAAAGCTTTTTTTTGGAGGGGGGGGTCTAAGTAGAGGGAGTGAGTTTGTAGCAGGACAGCCACCTGAGGGAGGGCACTTTGTACTTCACCCTGTCCCCAACCGAAGGTACAGGAGCGAACTGGGAGGCTCCGTTAGGAGCCAGGCGCCTCCCGCTCCCTGAAGGACCCCCTCCCACTCAAGTCAAGCTGGCCAGGTTCGCTTCCCATTCTGGCCAGGCCGAACCGGGTCAGATTCGCTCTTTCTTCTCTTCTGTTCCCGTCCTTTCCTCGGCCCGGGGGCTCCCTCCCCCCCCAGCAGGTGGCTTCGCGGGACACTAGCTGAACCTGTTGGACCACAATGGGCGGCGTCGCGGGGGCCCAGTCCCTCACCCGGGCTGACCCGGGATCCCCTGGCTAGGGGGAGGGGAGGAGCTCGGGTCCGGGCCCCTCCCTCATCCACACTCCCTCCCTAGCCGGCCGTGACTCAGCCTCGGGGCCGCTGCCCTGCGCCCCAGCCAGGGGCGGAAAGTGTGAGGCGCCCCAGAGGGCTCAGGCCAAGGCAAACAGCCCCCCACCCCCAGACATTATCTCACTGGAGAATTAGGGGGGGTGAGGTTCTGGGGCATTTAAGGGGGGTGTGTGAAGGGGTGGGAACACTGATTCTGGAGATCCGCTCCGGGTTTTCCATCCATTCCCATCCGTTCTCCGTCCCCCGTCCCGTAACCCCCCCCGCCCCCCCCCCGGGTCCCTGTGTAGATGAGATGGTCAGGAGTTTCTCCGGGTTTTCTTCCTGGCCTCGGCGGACAGAGTCCGGTTTGTAAGAGCTTGGAAGGAGTTGGGTCCAGGCCGGGGTTTATTCCTTTCTTCCTTACCTCCTGGGACAGGCTGGCCTGGGGAAGGGCCGGTGCCAGGCGAGAGGGGGCAGTGCCAGGGGCACATTCGAAACAAGAAGGGGCTATGCCAGGGGTAGAGTTAAACAGTCAGTAGAGAGAGGGCACGCATAATGGGCATAATGGAGGGGAGGAAACGGAGGGAGGGCCAAGGACAAATTGGCACAAGAAATAACGATATAAGTAATAATAGCTGATATTTATATAGCACTTTGAAATTTGCAAAGCGTCTTACAAACATTATCTCATTTGAGCCTCACAACAACCCTGTGAGGTAGGCATTACGTATATTAGTATCCCCATTTTACAGATGAGGAAATAGTCTCACGTTACTTGAGTTGTCCAAGGTCACGCTACTAAAGTACTGGAAAGGTTGCCGTGACCTCCTAGGAAGCCGGGCGCTAGGCTGTGAGGGTCCAGCCTCCACCAACAGCTACCTATTCCCGCCCCCCAACCCCTGCTGGGGTATGGGGTTGGTAGCATCTTGGTCGCTTAGCAAAAAAGAGGAATTTCAATTCTTCATTTCCCCAGGAATCTGAATAATTACTGTTTTCTCCTTTCGCTTAGTCCCTATCTTTATCTTTCTATTCTCCGCAGCCCCTCCCCATCCCCAATCCATCCAACCTCCTTCGACCTTTCAAGTTTTCTCCTTTCAGTCTCTACAGACTCCATCCTACGGCTCCCCTGGGATCCCGGCTGCCATGGTGGAAGGTGGGACAGCTTCTTGCCATCCTAAACCAAACCGTTGAGAATATCTGAAGCAGAAAAACGTATGCTTCTTGCAGTCCCCCAACCCCGCTCTCTCGAAACCCCAGCCCCCTAAGGCCTCTTGCCACCTTGGCCTGCCAGTCCGTCCTGGGCTGGGCTGGGATTGGGTAATGGGTGCTGAGAGGCCTGCAGGTGCCTCCTGAGGGAAGCGGCGGGAAGGGAAGCTCCAGACTCTCCAGACCTGGGCTTGATCCTCCTCTCTCCCATCCTGCTTTCTAGACCAACAAGATGTAAAATGTCCACCCAGATAGGTAATCTGCTGGAGATAGAGGACAGGGCGAGGTGAGGCATGGGGTAAGTAAACCGAAAAATAAAGATATTTGCCTTGAGAATGGAGTTGGCAGTGGGAGGTGGTATCCCATCCTCTAGGATAGAAGTAAAGATCAGGAGAAGGGGCAGCCAGGAAGGCATATGTGGTTGGGTGTAAAAATGCTCTGAGAACTAGGGAAATATATTTTGAGGTGTGGAGGGAAGGAGTTCTCCAGGACTACAGGCCTGGAGGTCCAGCGTTTTGGGATTGGGGGGCCAGCCGCCTCCTATCAGGGAAGCTGTGACCCCAAGTGAGTATACCTGCTGCGCCCACCTCTTAACTTGTGGCCCCCCACTGCTTCCACTGCTTCCCTCGAAGTACCAGCCGCCCAGGAAACCGCTGGGGGCGCCCAGACCGCAGCCCCCCCAGCCGCCGCCACCCCAGCGCTCCCACTGCGACCGCCCAACCCACCTGAAGGGGCCGCGGCTGCCGGGGGGGCACCCTCCCCTTTCCCTGGTCTCCCCCCACTAGCATCTGCGGGCGGCTCTATTTATAACTCCGGTGACTATTCCGAGCCTCGGGTGCGCAGCAGTCTACTCCAGCGCTCTAATCTCCGCTGGGATCTTTGCGCCCCCCAGGGCCTAGGCAGGTAAATTTAAATTTAGCCCCAGGAAGCTCTGGGGAGTAAGTTTCCAAAACTACAGGGGGGTGGGGGAGGCGGGTGGTGAAAATAGACCCCGCCCCACTCCTGACTCCTTCCCCCCTCCGCTGGACTGCAGGGGGCGCTGGTCGGGAGGGAGGAGAAATCAGTTGTATTGGGGTAGTTTGCCCCTGGAGACCTGTATTTGTAGAGTTGTAGATAGGAGCTGTGAATTGAGGGCGAGAGCCTGGGGGAAAAGGCAGGGGTTTGAGGGATTGGTCAAGGAGGGAAGAGGGAAGGAATCTGGGAGAATTCGAGAAGGGCAGTGGGACCTGGGGTGGGAGACCACCACAGAAAAGAAGGACCCTGTGAGGGAAGAGAGGGGGAATTTTTTCATACAGAAAGGAAATGACTCAGATGCAACTAAGATGCAAATATATGCCTTCCCCCCCCCCAAAAAAAAAGCTGGTGCTGAGTCCAACTGCTCTATGCCCACCAGTGACCCCTTCCCGACCTCGCAATCAGGAAGATGCTGGATACCAAGGGTCTGGTTTTTGGTTTTTGTTCTTTTCTTAAACTGTGATATCCCATTTATTTACGCGATAAAGTAATACCTTTCCTCCTCCCAATCCAGGGGTCCAAGACTCCACCATGGGGCCCCTAGTGGAGTGGCTGTGAAGCCCCGGCTTCCGCTCCATTTTTCCTCTTCCCAGGGGATTCCTAGGGGTCCCTTTCGGGTCTGGTCCCCTCTCTCTCCGCGTCTAGCTTCCAATTTCCGGGGTTGCTTCAGTTCCCCTGGAAGCCGCTAGATGTCCGCGCTGCTCCAAACGCCGACTCGGAAAGCCCCCTCTGCCTCCCGGGGAAGCCCCTTCGAGTCCCCAGGACCCCTGCTCAAAGCGCACCCCAGTGTCTCCTTTCCCTTCAGTCATACAGAGCATAGAATCTGGCACTGCCCGCTAGGGCACTGGGTGGGAGAAATATAGGCAACATTCACTTCTTAATCACCCCCCCCCCAAGTCCAAAACACAAATAACTACCGTACCGTTGGTGGGCAGGGCATTAATCTTGCTCACTCAAGGCTAAAGCCTTCATTGTGATAAACGAAACCTGGCTTCATAAAATAGCTAGCGGTCACGGAGAGCAGAATTTTCTGGCATTCTATATGTGTTTTTGAAAAGTTATGTTAAAGAATCCCTCATAGTGTTTCCTAGGTGGGCTGAAACCTTGTCTATCATTAGCCTTCATCTGCCCCAACTCTGCGACCTAAACAGCCTTCCTCTACCCTGAGGATCCTACCTGGGACAGCTCAGACTGGAACCTTGTGAACGAAGAAGGGAAACGCGGTTTGTGGAGAGTGGGTGGACGGTACTTATGTAAAACACACTCCCCAGAGCGGCAGAACCAGATTAAAACTGGGAAATATTTAACAAAATAAATAAAAATACAATAAAACATAGATAACAGTACATTGTAAACTAAGGAAATAGGTATCTTTAGGTAAGGATTAGCAGCCCGTGTTTCTATTTGAGTTTAACCCCACTGCCTTATACCAGCTAGAATATTAGAGGGTAAAAGAAGGGGTGCGGGGTTGCCTTCCTCTCCACTTTCCACCTGTACTCGTGGGAACCTGGAGGTGGCAGAAAGGGGAGTAGTGAAGAGAAAACCAACTCACTCCCCTACTAAGCTGGGGAGGCAGGTAGAAGGTTTTATTGCTCACACCAGGCTCATCAAGAAAAAAGAAAAGAGAATATATTTGGTGTGAGTACAATGAGACAAGGGAATGGAAGTGGGGGAAAAGAAAGACGCTGCTAATTCTTAACGTATCCCCTCCAGCTGCCAGGTCTCACCCTCCCAAGTGTCTATCTGGCTTCCCCTAGCTCAAATTGCACATTGAATTTGTCTTTCTCCCTCTGTCACTGCTTCTTTTTCTGACTTTCTTCTCTCTCACAGACCACAGCTCTGCCCATCTCCACCCACCACTTCCCCAAAGTCCCCTTTGCCAAGCATCCCATTGCTTTCTCCACTCCCCTGGCATAGGTTCCTTTGTCAGCCCCCTGTACTCAGACTCTCCCCCCTCCCCCTCGTCCTTTGGGCAATATCCCAACTCCAGCTGGGTGGAGTGGGGTTGGTCATGGGGCGGGAGACAGGAAAGGGCCTGGTAGAGGCAGGAGGCCAGGGCCTGAGTCACAGGGTAGGTTAGGGCAAAATGGGGGCCAGGCCCTTGTAAAGGGAGCAGAAGGGGTAGATTGGATTGTGGAAGCCGCTTTTCTCTTTTCCACTATCCTGGTCTCCTTTCCTAGGCCAAGGACTGGGACTGGGGTTCTATCCCTTTTTCTACATTTTTACAGAGAGGACAATGGAATCCAGGGTTCTGAGAGAGAGGTGTCCTATCCCTGGCATTTTTGCATGGGAAGGTGGTATGTGCTATATCTGGGATAGAGAAACTTTTGAATACATTAACAATTCGAGACACGGAGGGGCCCATAATACTAAGCCATTGGTGCCCCCCACCCCCATAAGGGTCATGCTTTCTCAATAGCAAAAAAACCCCAAAACAAACCCCCCTCAACCTGGCACAAGACAGTGTATTTCCTACCTCCTTGTTCTTATGAACTCCTACCTTGCCCTCCCCCTATACCAGCTCACACAGATCCTGCTTGTGCAGGGAATTGGCTCTGATTGTCCTGAGAGGCTAGAAATCAAATGGCCTCAGAGTTGAAAGAGGCTGGAAGCCCACACAGCTCACAGTAGGCACTGAACTTCACTCATTTATTGGTACTCTCAGGTAAGCACAGAGGACACAAGGAGTCTCCAAGAGACGAAGGAGGCACTAGAAGGAGAAAAGGGGAGGCTCAGAAGAAGGAACTTTACCAAGAAAGCTCAAGTCTAGTCCCCAGTGTGTACCCACCTGAGAGTGCCCAGTATGGTGTCATGGGTGGGGGTGGGCAGGGAGCATCCTGAATACCTGGGCTAGTCTAGCAGCTCCTTAATACACCAACAGCAGAGAAGGATATAAGCCACCTCCTTCAGGAATCGATGGAGTACCCCCCCAGCTTGTGCCCATCTTGGCAACAGGCAATCGGAACCCTGCATCATGAAGGGCCTGGTTGAGGGAGAAGGGCAAGGCCTGGGCTACGGGTACAGCCCTCGGTCGCATGGGAATACTTCTCCGTGGGAGAAAGGTGGCTGGCTCCCTTGGGCTTTATAAACATTCTCCTGCCCTGGGGACTGGGTGCCCTCATGACTAGCAGAGACAAAGCCCTTGGATGAGGCAAGGGGAGATTCTGGAATGAGAAATAATAGGCTGTGTCAGCCTGGACTGGATGGGTGTTGGGAGGGGAGTATCTGACCCCTTGTCCCTCCCCTCACAGAGCCCTGGGAATCCTGCCAAACTACCCATTGGCCCAGCTCTCTCTTCCCTCCTCCACAGGTCATATATCCTCATGTGGAGCCCTGCTGATGTTGGCATAGAGAAGCATCACAGTCAGCTCAAGCTATCCAGCCCCTCTTTTTTCACACCCTCAGCTCCCATCCTCCTAACTCCCCCCGCCCCTGCTCAATGTCAAGGATGTCTAGGCAAAGAGGCAGCCCAACCCTCTACTTCTGGATTTCTGCCCCAACTCCTGGGTCTCTGAGGGTGGGGCTTTGCTGAAGTTTTGGGGAGGAGGGGGTCCCAATCACATCCATGGTAGCTGTGACCACTAGAAAGGATGAGGTAGCAGAAGCAATGGACACAGCAGAAGACACCATTTATTGGTCAGCACTGACGGCGGGGCTGCTGGGATTGGGAGATGCAACAGACAGGAACAAAATCCCCCAGTCTAACAGCAAGTTCACAGAGTCAGGTTCGTGAATTTCGTTCTTCATCTTCATTCTCCAACTGGTAGGCTGGTCGATAGGCAGGGAATCCCCCAGGGCCTGGGTACTTCAAGGCCACATTCTTCTTTGTATTCTCTCGGCTGCCAAGGGAAGTGTAGCTGGAGACACAGGGAGGAAAGACACAGTCCCTGTAAATATCCGACTCCCCATTTTAGTGTTCCCTTATCATTCCCTACTCCTGCCCCCACTCCTGCTAGCGCTTACCCCCAGTCATACAGGATGCAGTAAGGAACAAACAGCTGACGAAGGAAATCCCAGATGTCTCTATACGTCCAGTCCTGGGGAACAAGAGTCACTTCACTAAACAGCAGCACTACATTTGGATCACCCATATGCCCTGCCTCCTTTTCCACTTCTGGGAGAATGAGCAGATCCAAGCATTTCTACTCACCCATATTCCTAATCTTGATCCCCAGAGGGAGGGGCTGCTCTTCCTTCTGATCCTCTCCTATACTTTACAGGTGAAATCTAGTACCTCATCCTCAGCTCCCTCCCCCTAGTTTTTTAAAGAAAGGATAGAATGCTGGTCCTAGTTTCTATCTGATCCCTCCTGAGTTTTCCCAAAATGCCACCTGCCTCATTCTACATGAAGAAAAGAAGGGAGTCTGAGGGGGTATTTGGAAATGTTTTCTCTCTCACCAGTAGTGGGTTGATGCGCATATACCGGGGCCAGTCTGGGTCAGTGGGACTGAGGGGACTGAGGCTTCGGGATGAAGGATCCGTTCTCCTTGTTCCCATCAACACAGCCTCCAGCTGGGGGTTCTGTGCCCTAAGTTCACTCAATGCCTGCTTCATGTCACCCTCAGCCTGTAAGACTTGCAGCTTATACCTGGAGAGGCCCATAAACGACCTTTTGAACCCATAATCAAGCAACTCCCCACTCCTCTCAACTCCCATAACCCTCAGCTCTCCCAGCCCGAAATTCCTGATCCCCAGTACCTCTTGGCTGTCTCCTTCAGAAACTGCTCCAGCTCTGGGAAGGGAGAGATGCTACGGATGTAGAGAATCTTCAGCGGGACCCTGGACTCTGGGAATTTCCTTTGGGTAGGTGGTGAGAGGGGTCAGGGCCCACAGGTTCCTCCATTTGTGTAGAGAGAGCCCTCTAAAACAGTGTGCACTGTCCTCTCCCCCACCCCATTCTGGAATACCCTCCTTTGTCTTCTTATATCCAAACCCTGCACACCCACCTCTCGAGGCCCAGCTTAAGATTTTCTTCCTCCAGGAAGCCAGCCCTAGCCTGATTTTCCCCAACTTGTTAAATATATATCTCCTACAGAACACGATCCAACACTTGAATAGTGAATGTGTTTTACTGTTCTTTGGTTGTCACGCATTCCAATGGTGTCACACCAACAAGACTATAATCTCCATGAGGGGAGGGCTTGTGTCTAATGAACCTTAGGTATCTTCCCTAGTGTCTTGCACAGGGCCTTGCACATACACAGAGGGCACTCTACATACAAATTCTTGTTGAACTGATGTGAACAGCCTTCCTCCTCAACACTGACACACACTCAGGATGGAGAAACAGGGTGAATGGATCCAGGAAGGAGGGATGGGGGGCCACGGGTGGCAAGTGGCTGTCTGGGGAAGCATGCATCTCTGGGAGGGCCTGTCAGCTACTGCCCATTCCAGGGCTTCGCGATACCTCTGTACAGCAGCGTGGAAGAGGTGTAGGAGGGCAGTGCAGTCCTTTCCCCCGTTGAAGCCCACACAGAGCTGGGTCAGGCTGTACCTCGACAGGGCCTCCTCCACCGTCTTCAGGGCCCCTGCTACCTTCTTCCCCAGAGGAGTCCCTGCCAGGGATATTGGAAGCATGGGGGAGATACACGTAGGAACAATCAGAGGGGACTGTGGGATGATTGCTCAGGACTTTCCCAGCATCTCTGCAGTTTAACATCCCTTCAGTTTGGTCCCATCCCAGGAGCTAGGACCAAGTCAATCCTCTGGGTACTGTAGAATATACAGAATCCGAGAGCTGAGAGAAAACTAAAGAGGTCATCTCTAGTCCAGCCTTTCTCCTGGGAAGCATGCATTTCCTCTATAGTTTCCCTGATAAGCAGCTGCCTTCTGAGAAACCAGAGAAAGCAGAGTGAAGGTCGCACCACCTGCCCACTAGCACTGTTTGCATGGAAAGGAAAGATACAGATAAGCAACTGTAGCAGCCTTCTTCCTACCTGACTGGGCTAACTTGTACACAGCCTCCCCAGCCTGCTCCACTGCACTGGGCATAAACGGCACCAGGGCTCCAGGGGGCAGGTGAGCAGCCAGGTAGGCCTTCGCTTCCTCCACTGCTGCCTCATCGTCTGAGTCCAGTGTCAGCTTAACCCGATAGTAGTTGTTACTCCAGTCTGGATAGGAGCCAATGCCAAGCCGGCGTCCAAAGTGTGCCTGTGCTTCTGTGAGGATGGAGGCAACTGACGATTCCTCCACTGTCAGATATAACTCACGAAGGTGGAATTGCATCCCTTCATTCCGGAACAGATCTGACAGCCCCCCAAGCACCCGCTGCTGCAGTTCTGGAATGCCTGGGAAAAGGTAGACATTCCGGACAGAAACCAAGGGGAATCGGAAGGGGACCCCAGTCTCAGGATCAGTACCATAGTGGAGACAGGCAGTGGAGGGCACCTGAACCAGCTTCTCTTGCCCAGTGCCCCCCAGGGCTCTCACAGCTTCTTCCAACTGAGGGTGGGGCTGGAGTTTGTCTCCAAAAGCCTGGGCTACAGCCTCAAAGGTGATATCATCGTGAGTGGGTCCAATGCCACCAGAGGTGATGACATGGGTGAAGCGGTTGGAGAAGGAAGCCACTTCCTCTGCGATGGCCATCACTTCATCTGGTACCACAGAGATCCGGGACACCCGGACACCCATGGAGCGAAGCGCCCGGCACAGAAAATAGGTGTTTGTGTCCTGAGTGTAGCCCTAGGGAAAGTGGGGGAGAGAGGGTAAAGAGGTCTGGTGTTTTGTTATGTGGAAGGAGGGTAGCTACTCCCACCTGCTGGAGAAGAAAGCCTTTTTCTTGGAGGTTCCATAAGGGAGGGAGGGAGAGGGGGAGAGAGAGAGAGAGAATGAGAGTGGGATGGAAAATCATTTAGGGTTAAGATTTGGAATGGAGTCAGTCAGTCATTGGGTAAGATCCATGATACTATACTTAGCCCTCTACTCTTCTCTCTAAGCCTTTTCTTTTGGTGAGACTGTCTACTCCCATAGCTTCAACAACACTGCCATGAAGATGACTCCTCAATCTCTTATCTCCAGCATTTACTATTCCTTTGAGTTCCAGTCTCCTATCTAGAATTGCTCCTGGACGTCTCCACTTGGATGTACTGCTGCAAACTTATTAGGTCCAAAATAAAGTTATACTTCTCCTAGAACCTGCCCTTCCTCATGACTTTCCTATTTCAGAATGACATTTAACTCTTTTCTCCTGCTTCTCCCTCACCTCTAATCAGTCGCCAAGTCCTGGCCATTCTAAGTCTCTCAGGCTTTTAAGTGGCAAATCTGATATTTGAACCCAGTTCGTCCAGTGCCCTTCCATTCTCACTGCCAACATCCTGAGTCAGGCCTTCTTTCATTCCTTCTGGCCTGTACTGTTACTGTGTTCCATCTGATCTTCTTCCCTCCAGGCTCTCCTCTCCTCTACCCATCTTACAGAGGATACTCAGACCAGTCCTCCCAAAATGCTGCTTTGATCATCACCAGGTCAAAATCCTTCGGTACCTTCCTACTTCCCACTGACTAAAGTGCAGATTCCTCATCTTAGCATTCGATGATCTGGCTACTTTGCTAACCGCCTACATGTACCCTGTATTCTAGCCAAATCAGACTATTTACTGCTCACTGAACTTGACTTGTGCTTTTTTATCTTCAATCCACTGGTCAGTCTATTCCTGCCCCCTGTAATGTCCTCCCCACCATTTCTGCCTCTGACTTTCAAGGTTCAGCTCAAAAGCCTCCTCCATGCAGCGTTACTTAATCACCTGGGAAGTGATCTCTTCCTCTTTGGAGCTCCAACCACGGTGCATCACTTATGCAAGTGACGGACGCTTCTTATGGCCTTGTCCTTTAGTTATTTTGATAGGAGTCTAATTCCCATTTAACTTTTTACTTTGGCCCCCTCTAGCCCCCTTTTGTGGGCTGTCTACCCCATTAACAAAAATATCTAGCATTTCTATGCCACCTTCTATGTGCCTGGCACTGTACTAAGCACTTTTACAAATATTGTCTTGATTGAGCCTCACAACAACCCTGGGAGGTAGCTGCTATATTATCCTTATTTTACAGTTGAGGAAACTAAGGTAAAGAGATTCAGTGACTTGCCCAGAGTTACATAGCTAGTAAGCGTCTGAGATCACATTTGACTTTGGCTCTTCTACCATGCCACCTGGTTGCCATTAGAATATAAGCTCTGTGAAGGCAGGTACTATCTTTGTTTTTGCTTTTATTAGTATCCCCAGCACTTAGCATAGTGCCTGGCACATAGCAAAGCCTTAAAAAATGCTCCTTCCTGGGGCAGCAAGGTGGCGCAGTGGATAGAGCACCAGCCTTGAAGTCAGGAGGACCTGAGTTCAAATCTGGCCTTAGACCAAACACTTAACATTTACTAGCTGTGTGACTCTGGGCAAGTCACTTAACCCCAATTGCCTAAAAATTAAAAAAGAAAATGCTCCTTCCTTAAGTGTATAGACAATACTGTATACAGCTTTGTATTCCTCATGCTACTTAGTATGAAGTTCCAGATACATAGTAGGTGCTCAATAAATGTCTGTTGAATGACTGAATACATAACATGCTCCCACCTCCACAGAGTTCCTTTGGGAATTTTACAAAAGCCAGGGAAAAACACAGATGAGCAAAATGAACAAGCGGGAGGGGGAGTTAAGTAACCAGTCTGGCAAAGGGCTCAGTCATGTTGTAAGGAGGTGTATGGCAGTGGGAGGTCCACCTCATGGAACCTGCAAGTTTAAACTAGGTGGCAGTAGGGGAAGTTCACTTCCTCTTTCCCAGCTGGACCAAGCCAAGCAATTCTCCCCCTCAATTCAAATCAATAAGCCACCTTCCTGGGAAAGGAGATGGAGAAGGGAAGAGCTGCCTAGGATCCAGGTCCACGCCTTGCATGCCTGTCTGTTGGGGCATGCTTAGAATAAGTGGGGGCCCCTTTGCCCACACACACCTTGAGAATTTCATCTCCGATGATGATGATGCCAGCAGTCACATTTTTCTTGGGGGTGGCCATGGTCAAACTTCTTTGATCTTGCAGTACCCTCCAGTAGCCACCCAGGCCTCGGGACAACGCTCGGAAACATGAGAGTCCCGCCAGCTCTACAGAAAATCAGGAGCTTGGCTCAACTGAGGTATCAGCCTGATGGGAGACAAGACTAGAATGGAGGGAACCTGTAGGGAACTAAAAGGAAAACTGTGGAGAGGTGAAAGACCCTTAAGGTGGGGGTCAGAGAATCATAGAATATCTGCATTAGAGAGGACTTTAGGGGGTAATATAACACAACTGCATTATTTTGCAGAGGAGGAAACTGAGGCTCTGAGGGGGAAGTGACTGCTCAGTGGCACACTGCATGTTGTGCTGCAGCAGACTCTCCTGGAAGCAAAAGTGAAGAGGGTGCTTGGAGTAATAAAAAGCAGCACTGGATCGAGGCTCTGCTACTTACTCACTGAGTTACCTTGGATTAATCACTTAATTGTCTGGACCTCGGGTCTCCGTTTCCCCATCTGCAAAATAAAGGGGGTTTGGACTAGACCAACTCTAAGGTCTAAACTTGCTTCCAGCGAGCTGGGGCCGTGTGCGTGATCGCGGTCCAGTCCGACGCTCCTTTCTCCACCCCACAAGGACCCTTCTCAGAGCCCCCCGCACGCTCCCTGACAACCCTTTAAACACTGCTTCTGCGTATCGGGTACCTTTGTCCTTAATCGCCCGCCCCTCGGGCCTTGCACGCGGAGACCATCCTCTCCCTCTCCCGGCCCGACAGCGCGCTTTTTCAAACTGGGCCCCCAAGCCCACTCCGGCCGCGCTGCAGGTTCCCAGGCCGCCAGCCAGGATTTCTCCGCTCTCACCTGCTCCTTTGCCCCCTTCCCAGCGGTTTCCTACAACTCCCTCCCGGCTGTCCCAACTCGGCTTCCGTATCCAGCGTTCCTCCTGAGCGACACAACCGCTACACGCCTATTGGTCCGGGCTTTCACCGCCCCGCTCACCGCCCCCACCCCCCAAGGCTTCATTGGTGCAGTCGGCTGTCCCTAGCCCGGCCGCGAGTGGAGTGCGGGAGAGGCACCGGCTTGTTGTTGGTGGCGAGCACGTGGCCGTCACGCCCGGAAGTGCAGTGACGCGGGGTGGGGCACTCATGCCTCCACCTCTGGGCGGGTTTCTAAGACAGTGGACCTCAAAGAGCCTTTGGTCTCTTGTGGCCGAAAACCAGCGTGAGTAAAAGACACCATCCGGCGACAGAGGCCTCAGTTTAACCCACAGTAGTCCTTGGGTGAAGGCGCGGTGGGCAAGTGGTGGGTTGGTGGGTGAGACGCAATTTTGGTTAGACACCAACGACTTCCCAAGGTGAGGGCACAGTACTTTTCTATGGATGCTTAACAGGGGTCCTACTAGTCCATCGCCTCTAAAAGACAAACTTTTCTTGGGGAGAGGGAGGAAATTCTGCCCTGGGCAGAATTGTCAAAACACGAGTTGGGATTATCTTTTAAAGAAAGCTGCTGTAAGAAAACTCCTCTACCAAACCCAGCTATGCTTAGCAGCCCAGGAACTTTCCCCAAAGTGTCAAATATATAGTTCATTTCTCTTGCCTCTTATTTTTAGGGTCACTTACAGGTGAGGATGGGGGCCTGCCCCCTAGCCTTCCTATTCAACCAGTGTTCCAGCGCTTGCTATAAAGAGGCCTTCTGCTTAAGCAACACTAGTAAGTGGCGCTTACAGCCTTAAGGTAACAACCACATGGTGCATTGGTTGTTCCCTCAGTCAAACTGAGACCTGTTAAAGACCTTAAGCTTAAAGAGGCCAAGGTCTCCCACAGCATCCAGGGCCATTTCCAGTCGGCCTGACATACAGCTGGCCACTGGACCCAGATGGCTCTGGAGGGCAAAGTGAGGCTGGTGACTCTGCACAGCCCTCCGTCACTTAGATACAGTTCTCTTGCATGTCATGGCATCATCTCCCTGATGTCATGGTCCTCTCTAAGAAGGACAATTGTTGGAGTTGGACCCCAAGTTAAGGTGGCTAAGGCATCTGGTCACAGTAACTAGAGTACTAGACTTGGAATCAAGTGAACTGGCTGGGCTTAAATTCCAGCTGACACTTTGTAGCTGTTTGGCTTTGGGCATATCACTTAACTGACAAGCCTCATTTTTCAAACTTTTGTTAAGCCTGATACTATAGAAATGTGAGCTATTTCACCTGCTACTAAAAATCGCCAACTCTATGGTAAGACTCACGAGGAAGAGGTCTCATTTTTAAAAACCATTAATAGCATGGTAAAATGACTGACTTCTTATCCACTCAAACCAAAGGTCAGTCACTTGGTCAAAGGCTACATAGAACTCAAATCCAGTAACTTTCTTAGCCAGACAATTTCATGAATCTCCACCTCAGAAGAGGAAGCCAGAAGGGGGTCCTTGGAAACCAAGATAATTATTTAGTATGTCTAGATTTTTTTCCTTGAAGAATTTCTACCAATTCCTTAGTGTTTCCCATAACTGCTCATTGTATCATATCTGCACTCTGTCAGTGGAAGACTGTACAAGATCTCAAACTGGCTGCTTCCAATATGTGGACTATCCCATTCAGGCTAAACACTTAATAGGGAATTTTATTAATGTCCAAAGAAATAGGTAGAAAAGCAGCATCTGGAGGGGTCTCTAGCCCAGAAGACTGCCAACACTAGACTACAGGGACTTGAGTTTGATGAAAAAACTTCTTGTCATAGATTATACAGGGAATTGTTACGAATGGAATTATCCCTTTATTCATGCCTAAATTAGTAAAGCAATGCTTTGGCCAGAGACATACAAATATGAAAAGTGACAGACTAATGCATTTTATTAAGAGAGCTGCCCTGGGCCAGTGAAGGTTTGAAATGAACATTTTCAGCAGATGTTTGAGAATAACCAGCTTAATCTATTTTTAAAATCAACTCCCTGAAATGAGCCTTATTATCCAAAATTACTGAAGACAAGATAATTAGGACCCTGGTATCTCATGAATGATATTCATCCTGATCATAGGCAGAAGAAATCTAAGAATGGATTACAAAAACTTCCTCTTTATTCAAGGGATTTAAACAGAGCAGACATTTCTTGAATAAAATGGAAAGTTTCCAACAAATGAAAATATAAATCCATTAAGTCACCTTGTACACAATCTGGTGGGAAAAGACACAAACAGCAACAATTATACGTGCCCCACAACTAAGCAGTGATGAGTCTACAGTCACTCTTGGTGATTTGTCCATCTACCCAATGTGTTCAGCTTGATACAGAGCTTGCCATGATTTTTCGAAGCAAAGCTCAGCTGAAGTTACATTACATTCATCAGAGCACCCAATGGGGTAGTGGTATCAATTTTGCTCAAGAAACAAGAGAGTCACCAGCACTTTCAAACAGTGTATTAAACATCCCTTAAATATCCCAAGTGAGAAACAAGAAGGCAACACTATTAGCAGAAAGATATTAGCAGGTAAGGACAGCTATGTACAGCTTTGAACAGAAGTGGCATGCTTTTTCATTTCTTAGGCTTCTTGGGCAGTGGCCGCCGGAACAGCAAGATGTGAGGCTCTGGAAGAGAGGGAGAGATAGATATTTGGATAAGATGAGACAAGCCTGCCCCATTCTCATGAGCTAGTTTCCCCCTTAAGTCATCACCTATGTGTTAATAAGCACACTCTAATATTTAGAATTTAATTTATATTTTACCATTCAGCCCTAGAAAAAGACCCAGCAGACTGGTCTGCCAGCAAATACAGTAATGCTAACATCAGTTCTCTCTACTAAGTTTGCCTAGACATAGGAGTGTCTTTTATTAGTGTTGTCCTACAGCTGAATTTCTGTTGTTTTATGTGATTTATAATTTATAAAAAATAATAAAAAATAATATATAGTTCAAACATGTGCAAGCACAGAAATTGGGTTTCTAGGGGACAAAGAAGCAGGGGAGGTAGTAATAGGGCATATTTGACCTTAGTTTATAACCAGTCTGTAATCAGAGGGTACATAATTTTAACAGGAGAGTGCATATCAACAGGCTGCAACTGCTTTTCGGATCTTGAATTCGATGTCCAGTAGACATATTAAACAAACTTATTATGCCCAAAACTGAACTCATCTTTCCTGAAACACCCTCCTGTCTTATTACAGTAGAGGGCAACACCATCATCCCAGACCCTCAGGCCAGAAACTTAGACGTCATCCTCGACTCTTCACCCATCTCTCATTCCCCAAAGCCAATCTATTTCGAAAGCCTGTCAATTTCACCTTTACAGCATTTCTTGAATATACTCCCTTCTCTCTGACACTGCCACTACCTAGTACAGGCCCTCATCACCTCAGGCCTGGATTATTACAATAGCCTGCTGGTAGGTCAGCCTGCCACTAGCCTTTCCTTACTTTAATTCATCTTCCATTCAGCTGCCAAAGTGATTTTCTTAAAGCATGAGCCTGACTATGTCACCCTTCTAGTCAATAAACTTCAGTGGCTCCCTATTGCCTCCAGGATTAAACTACAAAGTCATCTGGCATTGGAAGCATCCTCCCACTTTTCATGTTTTTTAAGGCCTTACACCCCCTCTGCATACTCTTTGATCCACTGATACTGGCTTCCTTGCTATTCCATGAACAAGACATTCCTCTCTTGGCTCCAGTTATTTTCTCTGGCTGTCCCCCATTCCTGGAATGCTTTCCTTCCTCACCTCTGCCTTCTGGTTTCCTTTAAGTCCCAACTAAAATCCCATATTCTACAGGAAGCCTTTCCCAATCGTTCTTAATTCTAGTGCCCTCCCTTTGTTAATTATTTCCTATTTATCCCATACATAGCTTGTTTGTACAATTTATTTGCTTGTTGTGTCCCCCATTAGATTGTGAGCTGGTTGAGAACAGGGACTGTCTTGTACTTCTTTTTGTATCCCCAGAACTTAGCACAGTGACTGACATATAGTAAGTGCTTATTGACCAAATGACAGGCCATCATTGAACTATTCTGCTCACTATTTGTGGTCGGTTCAACAATTCTCCATGTAGGGCAAAGGAGCACTCATCTATCAACCTAAACAGACAAAATAATCAGGCATTATGTGGGCACACATGCTTAAGACAATAAATTATTAACTATTACATCCCTCCTACCCCTTCCCATTCCCATCTTCTTAGCTTATTACATTGATATATGATCTTATTACTTTTCCAGTGCTATCCTACAGGGCTGCTTTCAGATTTTCCACTGACCTGGTTCATGGATCATGTAATGGACCCATCCCTGACTCTGCTGGACACCAAGGTTCCTCCACTCAGACTCAGACATCAAGTGGGTCTTAGGGACCAGTTTGGCTATGTCCTTGGGCAACATGACGTGCCTGTAACAGAAATGTGGGGATGGTTTGCATCTAAGCATGGTGCAGTTAGGCAATCAACACTATATATTATGCCTCTCACTTTGTACAGAAAGGTATATCATGGACCAAGGGGGAGATACAAAGGAATGATAACAATTCCTGCTCTCAGGGAGCTTACAATCTAATGGGGGAATCTTCAGTTAAGACTATTATAGAAACACTTACAAAGATCTGTAGTAGACTGTTGAGCACTTTAAAACTAATATTTGATTATTAATACGAATGAGAACAATAGTATGATTAGAATACTTATAACTATTGATTGATAATAGATCTTAACCAATATCTGGGAAAAAGGATGACTTTGGGGGAGGGGGTGTGGATAGTGGTCCTGAAAAGCCAATGCACAGAATAGAAAACTAAATGACTTTTACTTTTCTGATCCTTTTTTGGAAAACTTGAATTACTTCTTAGCCAAGGTTCTGACCTGGGGCCTAAGTCATGCAGGAAGGCAGATGAGCTGTTTGACTATTTGGAATCTGAGTCCTAGTGACCCAATTTGAGCTTCATTAATGTCAATGAATATTTGCTGAATGTCCCTTGTATACAAAGGTGTCTCTGTATCCAAAGAAATGTTTCTTGCCAGAGTTCTAGATTAGGAATTTATATGCTAACAGGCCTGGAGTTAAAAAACACCAACCAGACCAAATAACTTTGGCTTAACACAGTAGGACAGCATATTTTAAACCAACACCCGCTACAAAGCAGTTTCAGCTGTGGCACCAAACTGGCGTCTTACACAAGACCAAACAAGTGGCTTTTCCCTATTCTATTTCAATAATTGGGGGACTGATGAGTCTCATTGGTTCATTTAAACAAACAGCTAAGGTTAGAGCTAGTCTTTCAAGATCCAAAGAAGTATTGAGTCTTTTTCTAGTTCTCTGCAACATTTTGTATAAGGGTAGGCACTCAATATATATTGGCTGGTGTTAGTCACTTAGTGTGTATAGAACCCTATACTAGGCCTTGTGGGATACACAAATGCAATCCATGTCTTTTCCTTGTACTTAAGGAACTTGAAATCTAGTTGGAATGAGAGCTGGAGATATCTTAAGAATGCTTGTGTTATATTAAGGACGAATTAAAATGTGCCAATAGGTGATTAGTAAATTATCTTTGTTTTCCAAAACACATAGAATTCGAAAATATCTTAAAGGTTATCCAGTGGAGACTACCATTAAATCTCATTAAAAGAATATTTCTTCAACATCTAGTTAACATGGTAATTCAGGCTCTACCCCAGAAGTTCCAGTGGCAGGGTACTACTTACTATCATAGAATACAATGCGTTACATTTGACAACATTACTAATAATTAAGAAGGGCTTCCTTAATCAGAGCCACCTATAGGTCCCAGTTCTGTTTTCTGGAGCCACTCAGAAAGTCTAATTCTTTTCCTAAATGGCCCATCAAATGTATGTGAACATTTGTCATGTCTTTCCTCCCCTCAATCTATTATTTCTATTATTTACTAGCATATCTAGCGTTTTCGACATCCTTCCCACTCAATGAAACCTAGGGGCAAAGGGGCCCTCAGTCACCCTCTTTTTTCTTGGGGCTAAACAGATACCACAGGCGGGCCAGTCGCATTCTCAGTTCTATAGCCACCTGGCATTCCTTCAGCATTAGTACCGACATGAAAGAGAGCAGCCAGTTTGAAAGGAGGTGGTGTGGACGATGGCGGAAGCCCCGTAGATGTAAAGGTAATAAGCCTTCACTATATCCACTTCCTAACCCGTTCTACCAAGCCGCGAGGATTCCACGCATGCGTTCTAACTATGATTCCCCCCCGCCTCACTACAAATCTCTCCCGCGCATGCGTCTAACTACCATTTTACTACAAGCCCACTCCCCCAGTTGGCTCTCGCGCATGCACCTCAAACTCTTTCTCCTCTCCATAGCTATGGCTAAGATGGTCCTCGCGCCCTCACCCGCCGATGCCTATTGTACCTAGCATGGCCACCCCCTTCGCGCCCGCACTGACCGGTACTCGAACTCCTCATCGTCGTATTTGTCCGAATAGTAAATTTGTTTATGCGACATGTCCGCACCTCCGGGGGACCCCAGCCCCGCGCCGCTAACCGCCTAACAACAGCTACGCGCGCGCGCACCACAACTCTACGGGGCCTCGCTTTCAAACCTGCCGCTCCTTCAACCGATTGGCTCATTCGACCGGAGGCGGGAAAAAAACCTCACCTTCGGGACTGTTATTGGCTTTTATGTTTTTCACTCTAGCCTACCTCGGGTTCTTATTGGTCCGTAGGGCCAGACCGTATGTCTCGTATACGCCCATGGAACCATACACAAACTCTTATTGGGTATCATTACTTGAGGGCCCCACCCCTCACTACTACAGGAGGGGAGGGGAAATGAAATGGAAGAAGGAGGAGACACGTAATGCGTAGGGGCCAAAGGTTAGTCAGGCCGGAAGTGAGTGCAATAAAGTTTCTCCGGGGAGGTTGGGTGGGGGGGGGAAGAAAGTTGGAGCGTCTACTCGAAGAAACTGCGACCGCCAGACTCGGAGTGAGACCGGCCCGCGGCGCGGAGCGGAGACCCCATGCGGCCCTGGTGAGTACGGAATTTTTATCATCTTTATTTAATATTCCCCCCCCCAATTCCCTGGAATTCCACTTCCGGCCAACCATGCACAAGTCCCGCCTTCTGGGACCCCATCCCCGGAAGTCCAGCCCCCAGTTCAGGGGCTCCCCGAACCCCCCAAAGTTGTCACCTTTTTAAATCTTTACCCTTCCCTGGATTTTCTTCCTGCCCCCTTTTTGGAAAGCTCGGCCTTCCGCATCCCCCCCCCCGAAACCACGCCCTCTATAATCTTAACATTCCTTGGACGCTGCACCCCTGGGGGGGGCCTCCAAGAATTCTATATGGCCAGTCCTTCAGGTGACCCTGGCCAATGAGGACCCCTACCCCACCCCCAAGTTCCTTCCACTAGAATTCTGAGGAACTGTGCTCTTCATCAGATGACAACCCCTCTGTACACCTCTCTCTCTTCTCCCTGGACCCTTTTCCATTTAATTCAGTATGTATTTATTAAGCATCTATGTATCTGACAGAGTGCTTGTCTGTGTATGCATAGACAAAAACCTAACAGTTCCTGCCTTCAAGGAGTTTGCCTCCTAACGGAGGGGAGACAACATGCAGAGAGAAAATTAAATATGAATTATACACAAAGTAAATTTCCATGAGAGTAATTTCCCGTTAGCAACTGGGGGAAATCAGGATAAACTTCGTGGAGATAGTGGCATTTGAACTTTAAAGGAAGTTAGATATTTTATGAATCAGAGGTGAAATGTGCATTACAAGGATGAGAGATGGCTTGTATAAAGGTACAGAAATGGAAGATGATATGCTGTGGACCAGAACAACAAGCAGGTTATTTTGGCTGTAAGGAAGGGAAACATATACTAAGCCTGGAAAGGTAGGCTAGAAAATATTTTGGATAACTCTTCCCCTTATAATTCTCTGAAATCATACCTTCCAAGAGACACTTCTAAGGTTTACCTTATAAATCTGGAGGGATCCCTGTAACCTGAAAGGTCCCTTCTCCAACGCTAGAAACCTGGCTTCCTTTCTCAATCACACACTTAGTCCTTTGATCCAGCCTAGCTTTTCTCCCCAGTTCCTGGTGCCCGTGTCCCTGTCCCCCCCCCCACTCCTTACTCCATATAATGGTAATAATTTAAATAACTAAGATATATAGCAGTACCCCGGTAAACTCCTATGAGAGAGGTAGTGCAGGTTTTCTCATTTCTATTTTACAGCTGAGGAAACTGAAACTCTGAGAAGTTAAGTGACATGATCACATTAGTATTAACTATTAGAGGCAGGAATCATCTTAAATTTCCAAACTCTAAACCAAGGGACCTTTCCATTGCCTCATGATTCCCAACCCTGGCTCAAATCTGGGGGATTGAAGACTGGCTGTACTTTCCCTCTCTCTTGGGCCTTAATTTATTCTTGGGCGTGGGGTGACCTGAAGTGGGTTGGGCTGGAGGTAGGGGAGAAGGGATGGGAAATCCCCCCCAGTTCCCAGATCTACTCCCTAAGTTTCCCTTCCCAGGACCGGCTCCACCCCAGAAACAGCTGCATGTCGTACCTGTACCTCAGGAGCTGGGCTGGGCCATGGATTCCCTGGTGTGTGGAATGGGGTTGTGAAATGGGTAACTTCTCCCCACCTACCCTAAAAGAGTAGGGTATTTTGCAATTGGGGGGGTGGGGCAAGGTGCTTTTTACTCTCTGGCCTTATCGATTTTACCCCAACCCCCACTCCATTTTCTTGCCTGGGTATTCCCATCTTTTCTCTGCCTGCCTAACCTTCAGTCCAGGAAACATTCCTGAGGCTTTTGCCATTTCCGGCTGCTCCCTGCCACTGTACTTTCCTCCCTTCCCTCCTCCCCTTGGGCAGAGAAAGCAAATATTCTCCACCCCCATCTCAAACCTCTGAAAGTCATCTAGTTTTTAGTTCTCTGGAAGTGAGTTTCTTCCACATTCTGTTTCAAATACTCCTTTCCATATGGCTCACTGTTTTCTTACTGCGAAAGCTATAAGAAAGTGAGTATCTCTAGGCAGTACAGGAGTCTTGGCACAGAGTAGAATATGAGGATCATTATCTTTTGGGTCTTCCTTTTTATTTGATCTGTAATCTGTGATCTGTGAATTGAGCCCTGGGGAGTGAGGAGATGGGGATGATAAATTTCTTCTCCCAGTGTTTTAGGAGTGATGGATTGAAATAAGCTCTTTTCTCTGCCCTCCCCTCCTCCATTTATAGGATCATAGATTCCAAGCTGGAGGAGATCTTAGAGGCTATCTAGGTCAACCCTCCTTCCACCCACTCATTTTATAGATGAGGGGTCTGAGCCCTGGAAAGGTTGCCTAAAGTCGCAGGTTGAGCAGAAGTGGAATTTGAGGCCTGGTACTCTGACTTCAAATCCACCACTCTTTCCACTGCTTCTGTGAGTACAGATTTGGCTAGGAGATGAAAGGATGCTTTTCTCTCCCTAGGCTAGGAATGTACCTGAGGCTCGATTTTGAATTTAGTCCTTCTAGTCTTTTTTGCTGTCTGCCTTTGTAGGAATTTCTGCCCTCTTCTTCCATTTGGTTTGGCAGGAAGTCAGGAACTTGTGGGTGGAGGAAATGGGTTTTGGACTGTTTCCTGTGTCCAGACTCAAGCCTCGCTCCCCTAACTCCCTTTTTCTGTATGGTTAGAATGTTGGGGGTAGGGTGGGGTTTGGGGATTGGAGAAGAGCCCCTTTTCAAAATGGGGCTAGACCTCAGAAGGGAGATTTAGGGATAACTGGGAGAAAAACAGCAACTGGATTCCTATACATATGTTTAAGGCATCCCCCGTGGATGTCAGGGGCTGCCTGTGGCCCTCATTGCTTTTAAATCTGCCTGCCTGGTGGCTATGGGGAGGAGTCTGGAAGCCTTCTAGCTTTGGGATCAGAGAATAGACCTCTGGGATTAGGATAATTAGGATCCTATGGCCAGTAATGGATTTTCCTTTCCTATTATCCTCATGGAATGGGTAAGTGCCCATATACAAAGTTAGAGGAACCCTAGGGTAGATGAGATTTGCCCAGGAGAATTGTTGGTTAGGGAAGTGTCCTAGTCTTCTGACCGGGGACTTTGGTTTATTGGTCTAACAACCAGGAAGAGTGAGTAGCAGAATCTTGCCCACTTTGCGAGTGATGTTCCCTTGGTTTAAACATCACCTTGGGAGGAAACTGGCAGCTTGAACTCCCCCAGTCATGCACTGTGTAGTACATGTCGGGGCAAAACTGTCCTAGGGGCTGGCTCAGTTCTCTTATGTCAAGTTGAGCTGCTGAAAAGGTGAGTGAGACTCATCTCACCTGCCTTCTTCTTTTACAGGCCCAAGCTCCCCAAGGTCCCTAATGCCTCCCTTGGAGGCCTTGTTGGGCTGGCTCTGCCAGTGCACTGGTTTGGCCTTACTCCTTTCGTTCTTGCAGTCTCTGTTGGCTGTGTTCATCTGCCCCTTTGCTATCTTTCTTCCCTGCCCTGTTCCCCAGGCAGGGGAACTAAATCACCAGCTGTTATGGCAGTTTTAGCTAATGGCTTTGAGGTTCCCTGGGGATCTTCTTCTCCTCAGGGCCAACAGTGGTAAGGGGCTCGAAGACAAGGCTGCCAGAATTTTTAACTGGGGTGGGAAAGGGAAATAAGTCAAAGATTGCCCCCTTTCCCTGTTTTTCTTGTTTCCTTCCCCACTGTGCCTTGGCTTCCTGTCTTCCCCTCCCCCTTCCCAGTGTCAGGCATTAGACTTTCAGATCTATTCTCTCTTCTCATCATCCCTTCCCTTTTCCCCATTCCCGGTTATGCTTAGTTGGGAAGAGGGGGGTGGGTGGGTATGTGGAAATGGGAGGGTCACCGAGATTCCCTCCCTTAGGATTTGAGGCCTTGGGTGGGGTAGAGGTGGGGGGGCTCTGCCCCTTCTGTTCCTGTGAGTCAGCACTGTCCTCCTGATTGGCCTTCACTTACCCACTCTCCTCCCCTGGGGAGGAGCCAAACTGTTCCTGGTCCAGCTCCCTTTTCTCCAGCTAGAGAAGAGGCTTCATGCTAGGCGGGGTTGGAGCTAGGGCTTGTCTGGGTCTGAGCGGTGGTCTTCCCTGCAAGGGCTCTGTGACTACCTGCCTGTATATAGCAGATCAGACTAAGGGCCTGGGAATGCCCCCAGCCCGGCCCCCCTTACCCTGGCTGGGGGGAGGGCCGGGCTGGACAGCAGCTCCCCTTTTCCCCTAGCCATGGATCTCCTGCCCCCCAAGCCCAAGTACAACCCTCTTCGGAATGAATCTCTGTCATCATTGGAAGAGGGGACTCTGGGATCCTTATCCCCTGGGGAGCTATCCTCTCCATCTGCCTCTTCCCTGGGACCCATCTTGCCCCCAGTGTTGGGGGATGATAGTCCTACAACACTTTGCTCTTTTTTCCCTCGAATGAGCAATTTGAAGCTAGCCAACCCAACTGGGGGGCGGCTGGGGCCCTCTGAAGAGTCAGGACGGGGACTTGAGGATAGGGAAGGAAATGCAGGGGGGGCTGGGCCAGACTCAGGCCCTTCACCTCTTCTCCAGGACATGAACAAACTGAGCGGCGGGCGGAGGACTCGGGTGGAAGGGGGCCAGC